TCAGATAAACCCTAAACCCTAATCGCATTCAACAGCTTGATCAGATAAACCCTAAACCCTAATCATATACAACGTCTTGGTCAGGGAAACAAATCCTAAACCCTAAACCCTAGTCGCATTCAACATGTTGATAAGGAAATCAAACCCTAAACCTTAAACCCTAAACACATTCAGAGTGCAGGTGAAGTGATCAATCTTACAAACCCTAAACCCTAATCACATACACAATGTTTATTAAGTGGCCAATTCTACAAACCCTAAACCCTAAACCCTAAACCCTGAGCGCATGCGAAATCGCGATAGGATATAAACCCTACTTCTATAAACCCTAGTTGTACAAACCCTAAAACCCATATATACCCGCATCATCTAAACCCTAATTATATAAACTCTAATTATATAAACCCTAACTATCTAAGCCCTAATTATATAAACCCTTCTCACAAACCCTCAATAGCGGACGTAAAGACGAAAAAGCAGCACCGACTTAGCGCATTGTATAGGGTTTAGGGCTTAGGGTTTAGGGTTTAGGGTTTAGGGTTTAGGGTTTAGGGTTTGTGCAGGACTACGAACCAATTGCTGGGGGCCCCGTGCGTGCAATCCCTCAAGGGTTTACGTGCTGGGATAAGGTGGAGGTAAACATACGTAAGTCTAAACCCTAAATCGTCGAATCCATTCAAAACCCTAGGGTTTATGGTTTAGGGTTTAGGGTTTAGGGTTTGCGTATAGTGTTTGTAGGGTTTAGGGTTTAAGTTTTGCGGGTGAAGGATTTGACAAATTTCTTAGAAACGCATTCTGATGTTTACGTTACATGGCATAAGGGTCCAGGGTATAGGGTTTAGGGTTTAGGGTTTAGGGTTTAGGGTTTAGGGTTTGTGTGCAGCAAATTGTCGCGTGAAGGACTTGATAGATTTCTTAGAAACGCGTTTTGATGTTAACGTCGACATTTTGTCTTTCGGCAATTTTTGTTTGTTTAACGGGTTTTTACCTTCGCATAGACAAAGCAGACTTAATAAACCCATTGCAGAGGTAAACCCTAAACCCTAAACCCTAAACCCTAAACCCTAAACCCTAAGGTTTTTAAGCAGTTCGCTTAGACTAGCCAGACTTAATAAACCCATTGCAAAAATAAACCCTAAACCCTAAACCCTAAGCAGTTTCTATAGATAAACGAGTCTCAGTATACCCATTGCAGAGGTAAACCCTAAACCCTAAACCCTAAACCCTAAACCCTGATCTCCCCATCCCTCCTAATGCAACCCTTTCAACTGCGACGCCTAAAGCGACTCTCTGCTTTTTCTGCTGCTGCTGTTGCTGCTGCTGCTGCTGTTGCTGCTGCTGCTGTTGCTGCTGCTGCTGCTGCTGCTGCTGCAGCTGGTTGAGGAGATAACGAAGAGCTCTCCGCCTCCAACATTGTTTTTAGAGTCTAGCTGCAACAGCAAGAAAGACTCAGTCGATGTGCTGCTGCCAACCATCGCTCTCAGGAACGCACCCGTCAGCAACAACGCCTAGCTGCTGCTGCTGCTGCTGCTGCTGCAGCAGCAGCAACTGCTGCTGCTGCTCATGCTGATGCAGCTGGTGCTGCTGCAGCTGATACATCTGCTGCAGCTAATGCAGCTGCAGCTGATGTTGGGGCAGCAGCTGCTGCTGCAGCTGGTGATGCTGCATGCGATGTTGATGCAGCTGATGCAGCAGCAGCTGCTGCTGATGCAGCAGCAGCTGCTGATGGTGGTAGTGCTTGTACAGCAGCTAGCAAACAGCAACAAGCGCAGACCCAGCGCCGCCGACGGCTGCTGCTGCTGTTGCTGCCGCTGCTGCTCGCCAGCAGCAGCAGCAGCAGAACTGGGTTGCTGCTGCCGCTTTGTTTGCATACTTATACTCTATGTAAAGCCTTTATCTGCTTCTCTATCTGCATAGCTGCAGCAGCAGCATTAGAATCAGCAGCAGCATTAGAATCAGCAGCAGCAGTAGCAGCAGCAACAGCAGCATTAGCAGCAGCAGCATTAGCAGCAGCACCAACAGCAGCAAAGCAAACTTGAAGCAATTTGTGCTGCTAAAAAAGCATGCCAGTTTGGGTTTAGAGTTGCAGAGTGCTGCTGCAGCAGCTGCTGCTGCTGCTGTTGCTGCTGCTGCAGAGAGGATTTCTTATGAGATCCGCTGCTTGGGTTTTATACAAATTGCCTCTGAGTGTTGCTGCAGCAGTCAGGTCTCCCTTCTCTGCAGCAGCAGCAGCAGCACCAGAAGCAGCAGCAGCAGCAGCAGCAGCAGCAGCAGCGTGAGGCTTGGCAGTTGAGGCAGCAGCAAAAGGAGTCTTGTTGCTGCTGATGCATTCTAAGCGCTTCATTCGTCTCTCCAGTTTGTTTGCTGCTCTCCTGCATGCAGCCAGCGTCTTCTCTTCAGCTGCTCTCCTCTTTGCTGCTGCTGCTGCTGCAGTTGCTGCTGCTGCTGCTGCTGCTGCTGCTGCTGCTGGGCTTCTGCTGCGCACTTGTATGGGTTGAGGGGATGAGGGGCGCGAGTGTGCAGCAGCAGCAGCAAGAGAAGCAGCAGCAGCAGCAGCAGCAGCAGCAGTAGCAGCAGCAGTAGCAGAAGCAGGCGTTGCTGCTCTAGTTGCTGCTGGCTTTATATTTAGGGTAGGAGACTGCTTATTAGAGCTGAAGAGACATCTAGGGGTATTGCGGTGTATTGCTGCTGTCTCCATTGGGGTGTATGCTGATCTCATTTGCTGCAGCGGCAGCTTTGTTGCTGCTGCTGCTGCTGTAGGCCGCTGCAGATGATGCTCGTGGATGCTGCTGCTGCTGATGCCCCTCTTTGCTGTTGCTGCTGCTGCTGCTGCTGCTGCTGGTTTTGCTGCTGCTGCTGTTGCAGCGCTAGACCAGCCACCCCAAAGGCGAGAGGAGACAGTTGAGTGCTTATAAGAGCGTTTAGCTTGCTTCCACAGGTTGTTGCTGCTGCTGCTGCTGCTGCTGCTGCAGAAGAGAGACAGGGCAGGAGACGCCCGCGGAAGCCTCCAGCTGCAGCTGCTACTGCTGCCGCTGCTGTTGCTGTTGCTGCTGCTGTTGCTGTTGCTGCTGCTGTTGCTGCTGCGGGGGTCTGCTTTGTGTTTGCTGCTGCTTCGAAGTCGAGGACTGCAGCAGGAGCATCTGTCTCCTGACCTTGCAGCAGCAGCAGCAGCAGCAGCAGCAGCGGCAGCAGGACCGTGTTGATGAACGCAGCCTCCGGTGTATGAACACGTTGTGGGGAGGAGACAAAGCGAAGCAGCAGCAGCAGCAGCAGCAGCACCAGGAGGAGACACTTTAACTAAAGAGGGCAGCAGCAGCTGCAGATTACCGCCTGCTGCTGCTTTGTTTAGCTGCTGCTGTCTCCATGCAGCAGCAGCAGCAGCAAACGACAGCAGCAGCACCTCCCCGTCAGACTCGAGCAGCAGCAGCCAGCTGGAAGCAAACATAAAATAAATAAAAATACAGAATATTATAAACAGCAGCGAAAAACAAAATAAATAAATAAATAAATAAATAATATTATTTATATAATATAATTAATTAATTAATTTATTCTGATTATTTATTTGTTTTACTTTGCTCGTTTGTCTGAAGCCGCATGCAGCACTGCTTTGTTTGTAGGGGTATACTCAAATAAAAGAAATAAACCCTGCAGAGACAGCACCTGCAGTCTACCGTCTTCTATAACAATACCTAGTGCTGCTGCTGTGCCCTCCTCCTGCTGCTGCTGCTGCTGCTGCTCTTGCTGCTGCTGCTCTTGCTGCTGCTGCTGCTGCTGGAGGTAGAGGCAGCTTTTAGGTACAGAAAGAGATATTAAATCGATGACAGGGGAGTCTGTTAGATAACAGGAAAGAAATAACAAGTGAGGCTTTGCTGCTGCTGCTGCTGCTTTCAGTTCTGCTGCTGCTGCTGCACGCTCCGTGCTGCTGCTGCTACCCCAAGCTTCTTGCTGCTGCCTCCAGCCTGATATGTCTCGTCCTCTTCGTTTGCTGCTCAAACCCTCTCTGTTTCTTTCTCTCCTAAGACGGCCCTTCCCCCTGTGCACCATAAACTCTAAACCCTAGACCTTCTCTTGCATCTTCAGAGACGGTGGCTAAGGAGCCCTTCTCCCTAAAACCCTAAACCCTAAACCCTAAACCCTAAACCCTAAACCCTAAACCCTAAACCCTAAACCCTTAGTCTCAGGCTATCATTTCTGGGGCTACTGTACAGCTGCAATTTGAAGTTGCGGTTGGCTTCGTTTAGTTTTGCTTTTAGGGTTTAGGGTTTGCGTTTGCTTAAGGAGGGTTTAGGGTTTAGGGTTTGTGAGGGTTTAGTATATGCAAGGGTTTAGGGTTTCTTTAGGGTTTACAGTCTGCGACGGTTTATGGACTATGAGGTTTAGGGTTTACGGCTTAGGGTTTTATTAGGGTTTAGGGTTTTGTTAGGGTTCAAGATGTTTTAGGGTTTAGTGTTTATTGTTTAGGGTTTAGGGTTTAGGGTTTAGGGTTTGCCTGCGTAGATGGATAGAAGGGTTTGCTTGAAAAGGGTTTGTATCAGCAAGCGCAGCAGCAGCAAGAAGAGGATGAGGTAGAAGAGGCGGCATAGCAGGCGGTAAAGAAGAAGAAAGAGCAGCAGAGAAGCAGCAGGATTTAGGTCTATCTTTATAAAAACAAATAACTCCACGGTGCGTATTCAGACATAAACCCGCAGCTACTGTCAGCTGCTGCATGCATAAAACCCTAAAACATAAAACAAAGCAGCCATATATAAATGCAACAGAAAAATAAAATAGACAAAGATATTAAAGAAAATAAAAAGTATATTTTAAACAAGAAGTTAAAGAAATACAAGATGAAGAAAAAGAATAATAAATTGTACAGCAGGTCAAACACCGCAACACAAACACAAACAAATGCAGCAACAGCAGCAACAGCAGCAGCAGCAGCAACGAGCAGCAACAGCAACAGCCGCAGAAATGAGCAGCAGCAGCAGCAGCAACGAGCAGCAGCAGCAACTAGCAGCAGCAGCAACTAGCAGCAGCAGCAACGAGCAGCAGCAGCAACGAGCAGCAGCAGCAACTAGCAGCAGCAGCAACTAGCAGCAGCAGCAACGAGCAGCAGCAGCAAGGACTCCATACTGTCGGAAGCTGTAGCAGGAAGGAGCTGCTGCTGTTTCTAGGTTTAATACTGCTGCTGCTGCAGCATTGAGGCTGCACTGTCGTTTGTACGGCAGCAGCTGCTGCTGCTGCTTCTGCTGCTTCTGTTGCTGTTTCTCTGTCTTTCTCTCTGCACCAGAAGGAGCTATGCCGCTGCTGCAAGACCCCCCCCGCTGCTGCTGCTGCTGCTGCTGCTGCTGCTGCTGCTGCTGCTGCTGCTGCTGCTTCCATACAGAGAGAAGGCCGGTGCCTTGCAGCAGCAGCAGCCTCTTGAGTTTTTGTGGTTTAGGAAGCTGTTTAAAGCAAAATATTTTTGTGTTTTGTTTGCTGCAAGTTGTTGCTGGAGTTATATTTAAACGCCTGCTCGCCTTGCTGCTGCACCAGTTAATGCTGCTGCTGCTGCTGCTGCTGCTGCTGAGAAAGCTTCTTCTTCTCCTTCTCTTGCTGCTGCTGCTGCTGCTGCTGCTGGGGCGGAGGGTTGATTTGCGGTCTCTTCCTGCTGCAGTAGCAGCAGCACCAGCATCACCAGCAGCAGCATCAGCAGCAGCACCAGCAGCAGCACCAGCAGCAGCAGCAAACTGCAGCTTTCGCGAGAAGACAGAAGGAAGCGAGCAAAAGGATTTAAATGAAGGAGAATATTGAGCGGTAAAAACCCTCAAACGAGAAAAGGTGCGGAGACACCACAACGCCACGCTGTCTGCTGAAAGAGAACCAAACCTGAATAACACCCATGCAGGGTTTAGGGTTTAGGGTTTAGGGTTTAGGGTTTAGGGGGTTGAGGGTTTAGAGTTTGGGGTTTAGGGTTTAGGGTTTAGGGTCTAGGGTTTAGGGTTTAGGAGGTTGTGGGTTTAGAGGGGTGAGAACTTGGGATTAGGAATTAATGCCTAGGGAGAAGAGATGAGGGTTTAGGGTTTAGGGTTTAGGGTTTAGGGTTTAGGGTTTACGTTTTGCCTGGTAGAGGCTTTATTTGCTGCACAGCGTGTGCATGCGTAGATCCTTCAACCCAAAAGACAAACCCTTGCAGCCCCACAGCCAGCAGCTGCTGCTTAACAGCACAAACCACCATAAACTTGCTGCTGCTGCTGCTGCTGCTGCTGCTGCTGCTGGAGGTTGCTGCTGGAGCCTGCTGCTGCTGCTGCTGCTGCTGCTGCTTCCGCAGCTTCCGCGACAACGGCAGGAGACAGAGACAGCCTACAGGGCGACCAACGACGCACACCCGTTGCGCCCTGAGCACAAACCCTAAACCCTAAACCCTAAACCCTTAACTCCTGCAGAACCTAAACCCTAAATCCTAAACCCTAAACCCTAGACAGTAAACCCCCAGTACCGAACCCCACAGCCGCTAGCTTCTGCCCCCCAGCAAGGCTGTGTTTATAAGCGTGTTTAGGGTTTAGGGTTTAGGGTTTAGGGTTTAGGGTTTAGGGTTTGGCGGTGAAATGCCTCACCGCATATCTGGGGGATGGAAGGAGAAGATGCCGCCCTCTTTTGTTGCTGCAGCAGCAACGCTTGCGTCTGCAGCTATTGCTGCGGAGATATAATGCTGCTTCTTTTCAAACTGCAGCACCAGAGGTGTTCCTGCTGCTGCTGCTGCTGCTGCTGCTGCTGCTGCTGCTGCTGACCGTGCTGCTGCTGCTGCCGTGGGAGTGCTACAAAGCTGAGAGCTCCACAATGACTGCTGCTGCTGCTGTTGCTGCAGCTGCAACGGCTGCTGCTGCTGCTGTTGCTGCAGCTGCAACGGCTGCTGCTGCTGCTGCTGCTGTTGCATCACGCTAAGGAGTTGGAGCATGAGCAGCTGTTGCTGCTGCTGCTGCTGCAGCAGTAGCTGCTGCTGCTGCAGAGCGTAAGACTGGTCCGCAGCATCCGCAACAGCATCAGCAGCAGCAGCAGGAGCAGCAGCAAAAGCTGCTGCTGCAGGATCTCTCTTGTCTCGCATAGGAGCAGCAGCAGATTTATAATATAAAGATGAAGGGGGTTTTAATGTTGCAGCAGAGTCGGCAGCAGGAAGCATAGTAAACCCTGTAGACGTCGAAGCAAAGACATATCAACCCTACAAACCCTAAACCCTAAACCCTAAACCCTAAACCCTAAACCCTGGCGGGAAAGAAGCGCAGAGCAGCGGTTCAAGGGATAACGAGTAGGCGTTTGAGTTGGGGGCTTAACGTCTAAGGTCTAGGGTTTAGGGTTTAGGGTCTAGGGTTTAGGGTTTAGGGTTTGGTGACCCGTAAGGCTCTTCGCTGTGGAAGAAGGACCTAGAGAAGCAGCAACAGGAGGCGTTAGTATACTGAGTTGTTGCTGTTGTTGCTGCTGCTGTTGCTGTTGCTGCTGCTGCTGCTTGGTTTGTTGCAGTAGCTCCTCAAGCAGCACCTGCTGCGTCTGCAGCAGTAGCAGCTGTTGCTGCTGCTGCTGTGAAGCTCCCTCCATTGCATTCCTGTGTTTTTCTAAAGCCACCCACTCCAGTAAACCCTAAACCCTAAACCCTAAACCCTAGACCCTAGACCCTAAACCACAAACCCTAAACCCTAAACCCTAAACCCTAAACCCGAAGCCACAAACCCTAAACCCTAAACCCTAAACTGGGGGACCACAGCAGTTGCGAAGCCTCCCGCTTCCAGGCAGAAGGCTATCAAGCGCCAAGGTAGGCAACTTTTTAAGCAGGGTTTAGGGTTTAGGGGTTAGGGTTTAGGGTTTAGGGTTTATGGTTTAGGGTTTAGATCTTGTGTGCAAGCTTGTGTTCTACAGACTGGGTCTGCAGGCGGATGTTGGGATCTACGGCTACTGCTAGAAAATGCTTAGGCGCTAGTAGGTTAGGGTTTAGGGTTTAGGGTTTAGGGTTTGCGTGGAACAGAAGGAACGGCGGGGACCGGTGGTTGCTGGTTCGATTGATGCTGCGTCGCGTGTAGAAAACAGTGAAATTTAGTAGGGTTTATATTTAGGGTTTAGGTTTTCGGGTTTAGGGTTTGTGGTTTATGTTTGTTGCTGAAGTGTATATACACCTCAACTCCGGCACACGCGTAGATCGACGAGGGTATAACTCCTTTACTTTTCAGCCTTTTTTGCATGCATTTTTATATTTTCTTCTTTATTTATAGATTATAATTTAATTATTTCAATTATTTTTGTTTTTTTAGCTTTGAAACGAGTCTTTTGCTGCAGAAAAAACCCTTTTCTACATCGGGTTGGCGTACGCCGCTCGCCTGAGGCGGTGACCCCCCGAAGCTGCATGCGATGTGTACATAAATATAAATTAATTAAAACAAATTCTTTTAAATATTTTATAATATATTAAAAGGGTTTATTGCTTACAGATGAGGAGATGGTTTAGGCTCTAGGGTTTTCATATAGCGTTCATTCAAAGTCTCTGACGTTTACTCTTTAGGGTTTAGGGTTTACTCGCTAGGGTTTAGGGTTTACGGATGAGGAGTTAATCAGGGGTTTGCAAATCAAAGAAAGGAATAAACTGCGCATGCAGAAACTAGCTGCAATCCAACAGCCTGAAACAAAACTTCCTACACCCCCCCCCGCAGCTAGGGTTTAGGGTTTAGGGTTTAGGGTTTAGCGTAGCTGCGCCTAGCCTATGCAGCTAGCCAAGGCAGACCGAGATGCTTGTTACACCCTGCAGATATCCGCCACTGGAAGAGCGGCTCCACCCACACTAAACCCTAAACCCTAAACCCTAAACCCTAAACCACCATCTGATAGATCTGATTCTCATGCGTCTCCTGCATGCAACGACAGCCCCAAAGGAAGCTGCTGCAGATACACCGCAGCATTTTTGTTTATACTGAACCCCAAGTCCTTTCTACTTGTCTTTCTCAAACCCTCCGCCCCCCTAAACCCTAAACCCTAAACCCTAAACCCTAAACCCTAGGCTCTGAACTGTCGCACTTTACGCGTAGCAGAACGAACGGCACTCCGCCAGTCCCCTCCCCAGCAGGAGTGCATATGCTGCTGCTGCAAGAACAGCTGTTGCTGCTGTATCTGCTGCTGCTGCTCCTGCCTTCGTCTAGGTTCAAGCGGCGGCAGCAGCAGCAGCAGCAGCAGCAGCAAAGGCAGCTAAACTGCCGCTGCAGCCCCGAAACAGCGCCGCACACACCAAATAACTACGGGGCAGCTTCGCATGCATTGCTGCTTGTCTCAGGTTAGATAGGTTTGAAGCTTCAGCAGCTGCAGCCGGAAGCCTTCCTAGACAAATCTTGCTGCTGCGGCGTCGCGTTCAGCTGAACATCCACCACTGCAGCAGCAGCAGCAACAGCAGCAGCAGAAATAGCAGCAAGATATGCCCTAGCAGCAGAAACAGCGACGAAGCGGTTGTTGTCTTCATCTAAAAAGGGTTTAGGGTTTAGGGTTTAGGGTTTAGGGATACTCACTCTGGGCGTCTGATGCTGGTTGCTGTGTCTCCAGGCCAGGCAGAGCAGCAGCCTGCAGCAGCAGCAGCAGCATCAGCAGCAGCAGCAAAGCTTCATGCCTGTTTGTAGTGTCTACTGGTCTCTGTCTTTGTGTCTCTCTGTATATATATAATTTATATGTATATATATATATATATTTTATATATATAATTTATATGTATATATATATGCATATATATTTGTATATATATATATATATATATCTACACCTATACAATTCCTAGTCTGTTATTATATGTAGCTGTCTCTCTTTGTCTCTGCCTCCACTTCGTCTGTCTCTAATATTTCTATTTATTTATATTCTTTATATTTATTTATTTATATTTATTTATTTATATTTATTTATTTATATTTATTTATTTTGCTTACGAGTCTCCTGAAGAGGGTCTTCACGTTGTGCCCGGCCTTGGCGCTCGTCTCTATGAATAAAATGCCTTGCTGCACCGCAAACCCTAAACTCTAAACCCTAAACCCTAAACCCTAAACCCTAATCCCTAATCCTTCACAAACCCTAAACCCTAATCCTTCACAAACCCTAAACCCTCACAAACTCTAAACCCTCACGAACCCTCGCTTTTACGCCCAAGCGAACAGCAACAGCAGCAGTAGCAACAGCAGTAGCAGCAGCAGCAGCAGCAGCAGCAGCAGCAGCAGCAGCGCAGCAGCAGCAGCAGCAACAAACCTCGCGAGCCTTCTGCTCTCCCTCCTCAGGAGACACCTGGCTGTAGACAGCACACAAACCCTAAACCCTTACAAACCCTTAAACTTCACAAGCCCTAAACCCTAAACCCTGAACCCTAAACTCTCACCAATCGGAGCTCCTAAATCACCACAAACCCTAAACCCTCATTAGTAAGCCTTGAATGATAAACAGACACCTCACCCAGTTGTCTAACTACCAAACCCTAAACCCTAAACCCTAAACCCTAAACCCTGTTCACCGGCGGTCGCTCAAGTCTGTCTTGTTTCCAACTAAAGCAATGACGACATCTTTCCCCCTTTCTGCAGCAGCACAAACCCCTACTCCTAAACCCTAAACCCTAAACCCTAAACCCTAAACCCTAAACCCTCACTGCTGATACCACAAACAACAACAGCTGAGTGCTAGGGTTTAGGGTTTAGGGTTTACTCGCCCACCAGCCCTCACATCCTCAATCCATTTTGTCGTGTTCATGAAGGAGGCCCGATCTGCGCACCAAACAAACCCTAAACCCTAAACCCTAAACCCTAAACCCTAAACCCTAAACCCTAAACCCTAAAC